CCTCCAGCGCCCGCGTGCTGCTTCCCGCAATGCCTCAGCGGCCCCCGGGCAGACGGCACGCTCCAGGGCTCCGTGTTTGCCCTAATGCCTGGGAAGGGAATTGCCCGCCGGCTGCTTGGAGATAATCTGCTCCCTCCACACGGGAGCAGCCACAGCAGCTCTGAGCCGCTGCCAGGGTTTCCTCGGCAATGTGGGGCCAGGATGCAGAGGCAAGCCGGCTGCCCAGCGCTCCCCTCATTCCCGCACTGCTTCCCTGGCTGCTCCCATGTGTCCGGCCGCAAACGGGGACCCACGCTTGGCCATGCTCTGGGTTTCTCTATTCCCTCCACATCCCTCAGCTCATTGCATCCACTCTTGCCCCCCCACCACTTTCATTCTGCTGAAAGGGTTAAAAACACATGAGCAGAAGTCGCTGCTTTTGGCGGTACCTTCTGGTAGCAGAATCAAGGCATTTCCCACCGGCGCACGTTTTTACAGCTCAGGTAGCAGGAAGGTTCAAAGTAATTTTAGAAGAATCGTGAGCAAAATTATCCTTCAGCAATTTCTAGGATGTGGAAGGGAAAAAAAAAAGAGTGTTAGAGTGTATTAGCATCAGGCAGTGATTTAAAGTAAATTATAACTTGGTGCTTGTGCACATGCATCCTGCAGCTCCGCTAATGCACACTGATAATTAACCCTGCGCGGTGGGTGCCTGGCCGCGCTCCGCGCACTCATCACTCCCTGCGGCGCTGCCCGAGCGCGCTGCTGCCCTGGCCTTGGGGATGGAGGGGTGTTCATTTGTTCCCCGGATTCTTGTCTGTCCTAAATTAATTATCATCACGGGCTTATGCTCTCTCAACCATCTTGATGCAGACGTCTGCATTCAGACCCCCGCCGGAGCCGAGCCGCCTGTGGATTATGGTGCCCCAGCCCCTCTGTGGGCATCGGGCTCCCCTCCGCCCCTGCAGGGCTTCAATCCCAATCACCGTGTTTTCCTTCAGGACAGGAAAAGCTGGATTAATTTTTACAGCTCCCAAGGGAGCTGTTTGTAACCGAAGATGTCTTGCCGCCTTGTTTTCCACAGAATGGGAGACGGGAAGCAGCGGCGGGTTGAAACGGCTTCCTCAGCCCTCCCCATCCCTGGCCCCCCCTTCCCGATCCGGGATGCTTTTTCCCAGGGGCTGTGGTGGCCGTGGCGACAGGACACGGGCCTGTGGGTCGCCTGGGCAACGGGGATGCGGCTGGGACGGGCCCTCCGGGGCGCTCGGCACCGCTCCCCGTCGGCTACATCCCGGGAGATCCGCTCTGCCCTTGCGTGGCCGGCCCTGTGTCCCAGCTCCCCAGGAAAATCCTGCCCCAAGTAGCGCGCGGTCGGCATTTCCTCCCGGCCCGCTCCGGCTCGCTTGCTCTCCTCCCCACGGGCGCAGCGTGCTGCTCATTCCTGCATCCTGCGATTTCACAGCATCCCCGCAGCCGGGTGTTAATGAGATTAGACCCGAGCTATAAGATGTCTCTCTCTAGCCTTTGCCATCCAATTACACAGCCCGCATGGTATCTGATTGCCTGCGAGCGGCGAGGACGGCGGCTGGCTGGGACGGAGGATGCAGCTGGCCGTCCTGGGTATCAGCCCTGCCGTGCCGAGCCGGCTTCTTTCTTTTCTTCCTTTATTTCTTCTCTTATTTTCCCTCCCCTCCTCCTTGG